GCTAGAGGAAGATCCGAGAAAAGAGAGCCGTACCACAAGAAGAACAACAAGAACCGGACGAGGTCTAAGTCAGGATCAAAGGTCACGTGTTGGTACTGCAAGAAGGAGGGTCATGTGAAGAAAGACTGTTACGCCAGGAAGAAAAAGATGGAAAGCGAAGATAATGGTGAAGCAGCTGTGACTGTGGACAAGCTTCAGCAAATTGACGCTTTGACCATCTCAGACCAAAGCCCAAATTATCGTTGGGTGATAGATTCTGGATGTTCATATCATATGACATCTAGAAGGGACTGGTTCGAGACATTCTCGGAGGTTACTGGTGGGCAAGTACTGCTAGCAGATGACAGAGCCGTCACAGTGCAAGAGATAGGCTCAGTCTGCATCAATGCAAAAGGAGGAACAGTCAAGCAACTTCGGAATGTCAGGTATATTCCTGATCTCAAAAGAAACCTAATATCTGTGAGTACTCTTGATTTGCAGGGATTCAAGCACGAGGGAAGCAATGGGAAGACCAAGTTCTACAAGCATGGAAAATTGGCTCTTCAGGGTACATTGTGTGGCAGTCTCTACTTGCTTGATGGTGAAGCTGTAACAGGGGAGTCAAATGCTGCTGTGTCAAAGGATGACACTGCTTTGGGCATAGCAGACTCGGTCATATGAGCATGAAGAACCTGCGGATGCTGACAGAAAAGGGTCTTCTGGACAAGAGAAGGATCAGTGACATGGAGTTTTGTGAGAGCTGTGTAATGGGAAAGAACAAGCGCCTGAGTTTCAGTATTGGAAAGCACAGTACTGAGGAGGTTCTGAAGTACGTTCACGCAGATCTTTGGGGATCACCAAACGTGCACCCGTCATTGTCAAGGAAGAAGTATTTCTTATCCATCATAGATGACCACTCGAGGAAGGTGTGGGTTTACTTCTTGGCAACTAAGGACGAAGCATTCAACAGCTTCTGTGAATGGAAGACTCTTGTCGAGAATCAAGTCAACAAGAAGGTGAAGTGCTTGAGAACTGACAACGGGCTAGAGTTCTGTAACTCAGAGTTTGATGGCTTCTGCAAACGTCATGGAATTGAGAGACACAGAACGTGTGCGTACACTCCGCAGCAGAATGGAGTGGCTGAACGTATGAATCAGACGATTATGGAGAAGGTGAGATGTCTTCTAAGCGAGTCAGGGTTAGAAGAGAGATTCTGGGCAGAGGCAGTTGCTACCTCGGTTTATCTCATAAATAGAACTCCATCATCTGCTAACGATGGCAATATTCCAGAACAGATTTGGCTAAACAAAGAGCCAAGGTACTCTCATCTGAGGAGGTTCGGGTCAGTGGTTTACATTCACGTGGATCAAGGAAAACTAAAGCCTAGAGCACTGAAGGGTATCTTCATTGGGTATCCTAAGGGTGTTAAACATTTTTTTAATTTTTGTAATTAGCTACATAAAAGAATTATATGCTAGAAGTCTAGGAATGACATGGTCATATGGGTTAACCATTTGGAGGAAAAGAAGAGAAGAAACTATGTGAAGGTAAAAGAATGTAGAGCAATTATCATTTGAGCTGAGAGGTGAGCCAAGTGATACGAATGGTTTTCACTCAATGCTAGACTAAAAACAAACTATATCCTCAAGGTCAAGGGTTTGGGTGGGAGTGATGCCATGGTGATCAGAAGCGCTTAAATCCATTATAGTGACGAGTGTTTACTTACGTAGGGACATGATGAAAAGTTTTAGAGGTATATGAATAAGAGAAGCAATGAGAGAAGCAAATATTAAAGCTCTCTTGGTCTGAATAGAGTAGTGTCGCATGAACAATGAGTAGGAGCGAGAATGATATAAAACACATTCAAAGACATGGAGAGACGATAATATTTAATTACAAGAACCTTCTTTCCAGTTTCCAATGCGCTTGAACGATATTAGCTATGTATAATATGTGCACACATAATTTAAATGTTTCTTTTTCAAAATATTACATCTTGAATAAATGCAAGCATGTTAATGGTTTAAATGAGAGTAATTTGTATAAATTGTAAAAGTTTTTTGCGTATGTATATTTTTGTTGTAATTTTGTTTGGATAGTTAAATGAAATACTTTTCATATTTTCAGGTTGAGAGTGTCACTAGATGTAATATCATATGGTGAGATTGTCTTGTGCTTAGGTATCAATATTAATTGACATCATTGCCACAAGGTATCAATTTCACAAGGCCGAGAGGCATGTTTTTAATAAATATGCAAATATTGTTTTAGATTTTTTGATAATTTTCTCTTAAACAACTTAACAAACTCAGGTTCGTACCAACGAAGAAAACGAAAGTAGAGAAAGAAAAGTTTTAATAAATCTTTATTGTTTCTCATTAATGGATCTATGTATACTATAGTTTCTATTATACAAAGTATAGTCAATACTATTGGTGATAATTTCCTTGCAAGACAAGGTATTTTGAAAAAAACTGTTTGTTGAAGTGGGAGTTGTCTGTGCTGTTGCTGATAGGTTCTAGGCTCACCTGTAGAACTGTGGTTAGGATGATTATGTACTTTTTGCATTTCCTATTTCGATTCTCTAACCGTTTTCTCTACCTTTTGAATAAGGTACAACACACTGTCAAAAGAAGCCTGATGGCATGACTAGTCATGCTCGCATTGGGAATTGTGTTCAGAGAACTAGATGTCACCTTGTAGAATCAGACGCTGATAGTCATTGACCAGAGTCTTAGCAACTGTGGGATTCTTTTGTCCTTGTGGGTTGTGAAATCTGTTTTCGTGATGTCATTCGTGGTATGCTTCCATATTAGCACATATTATGAGAGGATCTTGGAGTCTCTCTTTTATTGGTATGTGTTCGATTATTTTGGATCTCCTACTGGTTCATCTCAGACTCTACTTGTTGGAAGACACAATTTTGGGTATAAAAGATCTTCAAAAGTTTAACTCACACAGAAAACCATCATATCTATTAAAGAAGATGATGATAAGAAAACTTGGAATTCCTTTTTTTCTGCGTTAGTGAACCGATTGGGTTGATTTGTGAAGGGATCGATTGATCCCATGAGCGATCGCTCGATCTGATGTTTTCCTTTAAGCGATCAATCGATCTGATGAATGATCGATCAATCCAAAGATAACATGCTAGTTGATTGATTGTTCTGATTAATGATTGATTGATCTCAAGATACTTGTTAGCTGATCGATCGATCTGAAGATACCCAATAGCCCATCAATCGATCTGATGAGTGATCGATCAAACCGGTTATTGATTGGATCAACTCATTTGTGCTTTGCTGATTAATATGAGGAATGCGCTTAACGATCGATCGATCGGTTAATGGATTGATTGATCCATCGTTCGAAAATGGGCACTTTTTGCTATTTTGCTCTGTCTTTTGCTCATTATGCCTTCGATTCCATCAAAATGTGATTCAACCTGAAAAGACTCAAAAAACACATATAACACTCGAAAAGCTTTTGAAAACTTGCGTTAAAAATGCAATACATCAACATGAACCAAAATGAGTAAAGTACTCGTACTCATGATAGAATTTATCTTATCTACCCAGTCATTTTAAAGTTAATGTGCATTGGGTCCACCTGCAAAAGATCGATCTTGAGCAGTAGAGAAGGAGAAAAATGCTATTGAGCAGAAGCTAGAGATAATCTGTTAAAATTTGTTAAGTTAAGTATCATTTCGATACACAAGAGGGAAGAATGCCGACTGAGGTTGATAATGTTGACAATTTTTAGCTTATTCTAATTGAGCATTTAATTCCGATTAGATGATTTTGATGAAAAACAATCAAGTAGCATTTCTTAATTTTTTAAATTAATTTAACTTTTTGTTAGTTTAACTTTTGTTTTATTTATTCTGCTATGATAATTTTTTTATTTTTGTATGTTTTAAGCTATTTAAATTATTAATTTTATTTAATATTTTTATGTTTAATGAAAAACATTGAGATGGACCAATGAAATTGAGTTTTTTTTTGTCTTATGTGAACGTAAACAACAATCTTTATACAATATAGATTTCTGAAATAGTTAATTCGATATTAGTTTTCATTTAATTAAAGTATTTATTTCTATTACCTTTTTGTGTGTTTTATTTTAACTAAATTATTAATCATATTTAATTTTTTATTTGATAAAAATATTGATTTGGACTAATTAAATACTTTGACTTTTATTAGTTAAATACTGTCAATTTTTAGTTAAATATATTTATATTAATTGTTTAAAAGAGTTAGTGTATAATAAGTTAAATATTTTAGATGTTAATTTAAATTTTTTGGTACTAATTTCTATATATGTTTTTTGTTAATTTAAGTTTTGTGATCTTGAATTTCCATTTTATTTTGATATATGCAAAAAATTTGGATTTTTAACATAACTTTTTCTTTTTTTTATGTTAGTTAAACTTTTTGTTTTTAATTTCTATTATATTATAATAATTTTCTATATTTTATGTGTTTTAATTAATTTATTTTTAATTATATTTGATATTTTTGATATAATGAAAATACTGATTTGGATCAATCAAATTAAATTTATATAAGCTTAGGTGATGCAACAATTTTTATATAGTATAAATATTAAGGGAATTATTTTGCTTAGCACGTTTTGATATAGTATTAAGTAAAAAAATATGGGAAGAATTACTGTTACAGCAACTTCTAATATATATAAAAAAAATCGCTAAAATATAATAACAACCTGCAAAATGCTGAAATTACTGAAAATAAAAGAATTTAAAATGATGTCTAAGAAATTATAGAAGTTGGTATGGTGCACGGAGCCATTCACTCAAATTCACATATATCAAATAAAATATAATACAAGATTAGTAGAAATAAAAAAGTAATATATAAAATCTCCAAGGATGTGTATTATCATCACAAGTTAATCTTGTAATCCAAATCGAATAAAGATTATTTTGTTAAATCGAGCAGAATGATTGTTAAAATAAACTCTGATTACAAAATGACAAACGCCAACAACTAATAAAATTTACCAACAAACTTAAGTAATCTCCACTAAACCGGTTTCCGGCTCATGGAATTCCCGGTTTATTTAAACTTTTAAACACAGCTCGGACCAAGTTCGAACCGGATACGGCTCCGTTTCCAGTTTCTCACCATCTTCCTCGGCGATTCTCTGCTCACATCCATCAATTGATTGAATCGGATCCGTTTTCAGTTAGGAAGAAAAATGGGTACGGAGGAGACGGCTCCGATGGACGAGAAGGCGAAGAGAATGAGGGATCTACTGTCGAGCTTTTACGCTCCGGATCCTTCCATCTCGACGAGTGGTTCTTCGATCAACGCCTCCTTCGACAACATCAACAGCACTTCTTTCGATGCTGATCAGTACATGGATCTCATGGTAATTATTGCCTTGTTTTGTTTGTTTCTATGCTCAGCTCAAATTGGATTTTGATTGAGAAATTGCCCAAACATTCTGGGTGGCTTTGTACAGATTAAAAAGTCTAATCTGGAGGTGCTTCTGCAAAGACATGTTCAAATGGCTGCCGAGATTAAGAATCTCGACACAGACTTGCAAATGCTTGTCTATGAAAACTACAACAAGTTTGTCAGTGCAACAGATACCATCAAAAGGTACGTACTTGTTGTAACAACTCGTAAATCGAATATGTGTATACACTAAGTTCAGGAATATGTGTATACAACTAAGTTCAAAAGTGTTGCTTCTTTTTCTTTTACCCGGTTAGGATGAAGAGTAACATTTTTGGGATGGAAAGGAATATGGATCAGCTTCTTCACAAGGTAGTTTTGGACAGCATGGAACACTTTTAGTGTTTATGTTTCTCGACTTAATCTTCTCCTAACCGGTTCTATGCTTTATGAACTGACTGCTGCAGATAATGTCAGTGCAATCAAGGAGTGATGGGGTCAACACATCTCTTTTTGAAAAGAGAGAACATATAGAGAAACTGCACCGGACCCGTAATCTTCTTCGTAAAGTTCAGGTATGTGTAATCAATCTTTGTTGCTACCTCCTTATTTTGTATGCTATTGTGCTCAAAAAACTTTTTTTTTTTTGGGGTAAAAAAGAGCAGTTCATTTATGATTTACCTGCAAGACTCCAAAAATGCATCAAGTCAGAAGCCTATGGCGATGCTGTCAGGTTCTATACTGGAGCAATGCCAATTCTCAAGGTTTATATCTGTCTTCGGCTTCTTGTTCCGTTTAGTGTTAATATATATACAGTATATGGAGGTATTTTTGACGATAAGATCATAAGAATTTCTCTTTCTGTTCAGGTATATGGTGATACATCATTCCAAGAATGCAGACGAGCTTCCGAAGAAGCTATAGAAATCATTATAAAGAACTTGCAGGTGTACCTTTTGGTCCTTCGTAGTCTATGATAGTTTGAAGTAATGGTTTATTTAACCTGATTAACAAATAAGTGGTCTTCTTTTCCTTTTTGTTTGTTATTTCTTTGAATTCTTGGTGCGAGAAACTTAGCTTTGTCTTTTTCCAACAGACGAAGCTATTTTCAGATTCGGAATCCATACAGGCGAGAGCTGAAGCTGCAGTGCTTCTTAAGCAGTTAGATGTCCCTGTTAGTTCTTTCTCTCTGCTCGATTATCTGTGAATCTGTTAAAGCATCTATACTTTTGGTGAACGCTGGAGCTACTTGCAAAGTTTTGAATGTTCATAATGACATAATCCGTTATATGCAACTGGTTGGTGTGACTTATATTTGGATTGCACATCCTGCAGGTTGATAGCTTAAAGGCCAGGTTGTTGGAAAAGCTGGAACAATCTCTTGATGGTCTTCAAATAAAGCCTGAGGAGGCAAGTAAACTTGCAGAGCACAATGATTCATCTAAGGATGAGGAAAGCAATAACCAAGGCCCTGTTAAAATTCATGAGGTAATACATGAACTATTCCACCTCCTTGTATCTTGAGTTTCTGATGATTGTAAGTTGGAACACAATTAATTTTCAATGGATTTTTTTCTCATTAGCCATCAGATTGAGAATGATATTCTTTTACTCATATTCTTCTATCAGAATTTATGAGTTTTTTTTCTGCACTTTTGATATTTTAATGTATGCCCTCTTTTTTTGTTTGATAGGACGCTGTACGTGGATTTTCTGAGGCCATGCGCGCTTACAGAGATATATTCCCTGACTCTGAAGAAAGACTTTTTAAACTCGCAAGAGCCTTAACAACGATGTAATGTACTTTTTTCTTTTGATACATTTATCCATAAACCAAGATTTTTGTCTGCGTCTGACCTGCAGAATATAAACATACGGTTGTTATAGGCACTTTGAGAACATGGAGGTCTATATAAGAAAACGTGTATCCGCAGCAGATTTTCTTGGAATTTTTCGTGAGTGCAGTGGTTTTTCCTCGTGCTGTTGTCTCTTACTTGTATCTCTTTCAACGTTACTTCCCTTTCCCTCTGAAAGCTTGGATTAAAATCAGTCTAAAAGTTGTATATTCTTGTCTGACTTCACAGGAATTATATGGGAAGATGTGGTACTTATGGACGAGGTGCTACCTGAGGCTGCACTCTCTGATTTATCTGCAGAGGTGCTCCTTCAAATTTGTTCTCTGGCACTCTTCTTTATGTTAGGATGAGTAGAGACCTATGTATGTTAACTAGAACTCATCATTTCAGGCTGCTCAGGTCACTCTTAAGCAATTTGTTGCGAAGACGTTCTCTCATCTTCAACAAGATATATCAGGTTCGCTGTTTCTTAATATCTACTGGATTTGGAATATCTTAGTGTGGGAAAATAGAGAAGATGGTCTTTTTGATTAATTTCTTCATGAAGTTTATAGTCTTGGAAGAAATCAGAAGCTCAATAAGGTCTCTCTATACGTGGCAGATACTCTCTTGAAATTCGATATCAACCAAAAGGAAGTAGTTGACGGAGAGATATTGAATGTTGTCCTTGAAGCTAGCAGAAAGGCAGTTCTTCAAGGCACCGCAGATTTATTTCAGGCAGAGATTCCTGCCTTCTTCTGTTATTTATGATAATTTATTGATTTTTGGCTAATCATTTCCTCTATTTCATGCTCAAAAACGTTTATATATATGTTTCAGGACTTCCGTCAGCTTCTTGATGAAGATACTGGAGTAATTGTCAAGATGAAGAACTCACTCATTGGTTGGATTCAGAAAGGATTTCAAGACTTCTTCAGGTCACTTGAAGCTCATTTTCTAGTGCTTTCAGGAAAAACTATCTCATCAAACGAGACTGAAGGTTTGATGGAAGGAAAATCGAGTGAGAGAATTCATGCTGGTCTCATCCTTGTACTGGCGCAGCTCTCTGTCTTCATCGAACAAAAGGTCATCCCGAGAATCACTGAGGTAACGAATCTGACACCTGGTTTGATGTAAAAAAACTTCAAAACACATATTGAGAAACTCCATATGTTAATTCAGGAGATAGCTGCTTCCTTCTCTGGCGGAAACTCCCAAGCATTTGAGAATGGGCCTGCCTTTATCCCAGGAGAACTTTGCCGGGTCTTCCACGCAGCCAGCGAGAAGCTTCTCCAGCATGTATGAATCAAACACTCCACATGTTGAGGTCGTTTACAAAAACTTAAAATATCAACTAACTGAATCATTTCATATTTCAGTACATAGACACAAGAACACAGAAGATATCGATTGTACTAAGAAAGAGGTTCAAGACACCAAACTGGGTTAAGGTATTGCAGTGTTCAACGTGTGAGTTGTGACTAATCTTCTTAAAGGAGCAGTGTTCACCAGTCATTGTTTTTCTAAATATTTTGCAGCACAAGGAGCCACGAGAGGTTCACATGTTTGTGGATATGTTTCTTCAACAGGTTTGACAACTCTTCTCCTCTTCTCAATCTGGAAAGACAATATAACGAAAGAACAAGATGCAACAGCTGAATTTTGTTTTTGGACTTGGGCTTTGGCAGTTGGAAGAAGTTGGTAAAGAAGTGAAACAAATTTTACCTCAAGGGACTTTCCGTAAGCACAAGAGATCAGATAGCAACGGAAGTAACACTACAACCTCGTCACGCAGCAATACACTCCATAACGATAAGATGGCACGGTCGAATTCACAGAGAGCTCGAAGCCAGCTTTTCGAGACGCATCTTGCAAAACTGTTCAAGCAAAAAGTAGAAATTTTCACAAAGGTTGAATTTACACAGGTAAGAAACAATACAAAACAAAAATACGCATCAAATACACACGGAGCGGAGCGTAGCGTCATGTTCTGATCGTTTTTGCGTTGCTTCATGCTAAAATTACTTGCAGGAATCCGTTGTTACGACAATAGTAAAGCTCTGTCTGAAGAGTTTGCAAGAATATGTTCGGCTCGAAACGTTTAACCGGAGCGGGTTCCAACAGATTCAGCTCGACATTCAGTTCCTAAAAGCTCCTTTGAAGGAAGCAGTTGAGGACGAAGCTGCAATTGACTTCTTGCTCGACGAGGTGATTACACCAAAAGCTTCTCCCTTGGCTTTTCTTCTCGCAACCACCCAAGTGTATTTGTGTGTTTTTTTGGTCTCGCTTTTTTTGCAACTGACCCGACCATTCATTCTCGGACCGTGTTGTGCTGTACTATCAGGTGATCGTTGCGGCCTCAGAGAGGTGTCTTGATGTGATACCGTTGGAGCCACCCATCTTGGACAAACTCATACAAGCTAAGCTCTCTAAATCCAAGGAGCACAACAACAACACTGTTTCTTCTTGAAAATTATAATCCATAAATAACTCAAAAACAAAGTGTGTGTTGCGTGTCTCATGATTTTTTTTGGCCATATTTTTGCTGCTTATTATATCATTCGTAGTGTAAATTAAAACCATCAAATTGTTATGTATTTCAAAAACTCCAGTAGTATTTACTGTTTACAACTATTATTTGTTGGCAAAAGCCGCGTTTATAAGTCATGTTAACAAATTATTACATAAACAGACATATAAGCTATATATATATAGTTTTCGGTACATAAATCTTATTCGTTACTGTTTTTATTTCAATGAGATGGGCTTTTACAAGGCCTAAGGCCCAGTCCCATTTTATTCGTATGTCACGTGGAGTCACGTGATTGTCTTCTTCTTCCATATAAACCCTTCGAATCTTTTTTCAACGGCGGCTTGTGTTTGACGAGAGTGGAAGAAGATGGTGGGGTTTAAGAACAGGTACATGTTGATGGAGGTTTTTCTAGATCCGGACAAGGATCTTCTCGGCGAAGGAACTCCGATTATTCTTACACAATTCAATCTCTCCAAAGCAATCAAAGAAAGCATCGTCGTCAATTTCGGCGAGTGTGGTCTCGGCTCTTCTCTCGGATCTTTCCAGGTAAAATATGAGAACCCAATCACAAAGCTATGCATTGTAAGGTCATCAAGGGAGGAACACAGACAAGTTTGGTCGGCAATGACGTTGGTCAGAAGCATCGGAAACTGTCCGGTGGTCTTTAACTTACTGGATATCAGCGGTTGCATCAGAGCTTGTAAAGACACAGCCTTGAAGTGCGAGACGGAGAGGTTAAAACAATCTAGCAAAAGCTTGTCTGAAGAGGAGACTCGATTGAAGAACAGGTGTCTAGATAAACTCAAACTATTGGAAAACTGAAGAACCTTTTTTTTGGGTCACCTGGCTATAGAAATAGAATGGTTTCGAATTTGACCCTTAAGTATTGAAAGTGTACAATCCTTCCCTTGTATGAATATTATTCTGATTTTTTTCTTCTAGTAAACTGTTTGGATTATTGTGTTTTTTTTTGTTTCCAACTTAAAAACAAAGGGTTATGTATTGTTGAGATTTGATCTGAATAATGGCTTAGTTTTGTGAGAATCGTATAGTGTCTTTTGCTTAATGCATGTTACCTGTTCGATGAAATGCCTCATAGACCTGGTACAAAAAAAAACTATTCATGTTGCTGTCTTTAGGATTTGGGATTTGATTATTAACTTTAGCTTTGTTGCTTTTTGGGGATTACCTGCTGTTTTAGTCGTGCGTTTAGTTCCCATCAACAATATTAAGTTTGTGTTGGGAACTATGTAGAGGCACTGGAGCGGTCAATTGTCCAATTTGCTTCGGTCTATGGCGTGAAAGCTCACGCAGGACACAATGATCGAATATACTGATTTGAAATACTTTGAGCACATTGTACCTTGTGGGATTGCTGATAAAAAAGTTGGGTACATCTTTGAGAAGAGAGACAAAAACTCTGCTTCCTTCAGACCAATGTGATTCATCAACAGCTGGTTTCTTGTTTGTTCATTGACTTTTACAAGCAGCTGAGCTGGCATTATCATTGGTTAATATTGAGTCTAGTTGTAAAAAAGGCCTTGACTATATATAAAAGGACCCGGGAGTCTTCTTTACGTTTTGTGCAGATTTGTGACTTGGTTTCTCAGGTTGTTGAGATTCAATAAAAGGGAGCTTGCAAGTGTTCTTACCACTTTCATTCTCGATCCTATATCTTTTTGTGTTAATACCACTAATTTTTTTCTCAAATAGGCATTGAGACTCATGCAAAACACCAGTAAACAAAATTTTGTTGAGGAAAATTGCATGAACCCTAAAACATCAGTACTGTACTGACTTCTCCACCCTCGTTTTCCTCGCCATGTCAACGTTCCAATCAGAGTATACTAACTTCACCATATTTAAAGCAAGATTTTCTTGTATAAGCAGCCGAAATAAAGGATAGATAATCTATAAAAACATTGTGATGATTGATACTCACAAGTCACAAAATGCATGTTGACTCTTCTGTTTCTGTTAGAATATTACAGTATTCCACCATGTGAAGGGAAAAATGTTGGTTCTTGAAACTATATTTTCGGAATCATCAATGTTAGACAAGTCAATAATTGCTCACACCTATTATCGCTTATCTCTCTTAGTCAAATTGGTTGGAGTATTGAAGTTCCATATGGTTGGCAATTGAAGTTTGGATTTAATGATCTTTTATTCTCCTTCATGGTTCCCTTGGAACATGTTTTCACTCTTTTTGTGGTTGAAAATTGATCCTTAATCTCCTTAGGGAACCATATTTTTAAATTTTACTATCATTAGAGTGGAACATGTTTGTTGCCTTTATATCTCTGAACCAGTTTTGGTCCCCGGAAACTAATTTTATGTGCAATCAAGATTCAAGAAAATGACGTAAATGGCATATAAAACGAGGGAAACTGAATTGTCAAAGATATGAAACATGTTGGAAGAATATAAGAAAAAATGTTTCAACACTATATATATATTTGAATGACTCTATATCATAACATATCTGCTATCGTCGACTCTTTATTTTACTTTCAGTTTCCATAAGATCGACAATGAGAGACAGAGATGGCGAAGCAGAAGCTATAGAGAATGTTCCTCTGTTAAGGGATCAAAATGCGGCAGAGGAAGGTCAAGAAATATGGATAGAGACAAAGAAGCTATGGCGTATCGTTGGACCGGCCATATTCACAAAAATCGCGACCAACTTGATCGTCGTCATCTCCATCGTCATCAACGTCATCATTGGCTTCACCTTTAGCTTTCTCGTACACACTCACACACATATATAAACATTTTCTTGCTTATATTATGATGTTTAATTAAACTTACGAAGAAACAATAAATATATTTTTTATATGTAGCTTGGAATGGCGAGTGCATTGGAAATGTTGTGTGGTCAAGCGTTTGGAGCGTAGAAGTATGACATGTTGGGAGTGTATATGCAGAGATCTTGGATTGTTCTCTTCTTATGTTCCATCTTGCTTCTTCCTATGTTCTTCATTGTGACTCCGATTCTTAAGTTATTAGGGCAGCCTGACAACATCGCCGAGCTCTCCGGTACCGTTGCTGTTTGGGTCATTCCTGTCCAATTTGCCTTTTCATTCGTTTTGCCTATTAACCGATTCCTCCAATGCCAGCTCCAGAACAGAGTAAGTAAACAAAATCTTAATAATAAGTTGTTAGAGAATAGTCTGGGCCATATTCCTACATAAAGGTTGATCAGTGGTGTGCAATTAGAGTGACGAGAGATACATATCATAACTAAATAATGAGCAAAATTACTTGATAATTTTCCCCACTATTTTCTCTTTTTATTGGTGATACCATTTATTTTGTCATATAATGCATTTCATTCGTAGGTTAAAATCAAGTCATTTAATAATATTAATTTTTTAAAGTTTTGAATTTGTTCAGTTTTTAGTATTATTCTATTAATTTCGCTAATTTTTTATTCAGTTATTACTTATTATATTATTAAATTGACATATCAGTCAAATTATTTTTACAGTGTAGCATTCACTTTCAAATCTTAACGAGTGCACATTATCTTGATAATAATATTGCTAGATGTATGTAGATAATATATTAGCTTACATTTACAACCAGGTAATTGCAATTACGGCTGGAGTGACACTTGTAGTTCATATATTTGTGTGCTGGCTTTTTGTGAACGGTCTCAAACTTGGAGTCATAGGGACAATGGCTACTGTTAGCGTCTCATGGTGGCTCAATGTTATCATTTTGTTTACTTACATCATATGCGGCGGTTGTCCGCTCACTTGGACCGGTTTCTCCATCGAAGCTTTCACCGGACTGTGGGAGTTCACTAAGCTCTCTCTGCCTCTTCCGGAATCATGATTTGGTATTATTTTTTCAATGCCACTTTCGTCACATTTTTCATGATTTTATAGATCGAAAACAACTTCTCACTGTAGATTTTTTTTTTTATCGTGACAGCTTGGAGTATTGGTATTATAGGATTTTAATTCTGATGATACCAACTTGTGGTAACCCAACCCGGTAAACTGTACCGCGGCTGTGTCCCACTACATCCTCTAAGTCCGTTTCTATACTTAGCCATATTTTTAAACTTTTTATTTAAACTTATTCTTTCTTATCAATACACGGCAGAATATAAAGCAACTCATTTCATTCATTTAACTTTCATAAAACACTTAAACAGGATTCGGGATTCAACATAAATAAAAGCACAAGGTTCGCTAAAGATTACAACTGATCATCTAGCAACCTAACGATCAAACACCAAAGCCATAAGACTCTAAACACACGTCTTAAACATAAATAAAACCCAGTCCCGATCCATCCATATCCATCACTGCCGCCTGGTCTCGCCCCTTTACTGCTTAGTACCTGCACACTCAAGATGAGAGGCATAAGTATTTCATAAATATTTAGTGAGTACGGTCATCCCGTAACACCTGGTCAGTACCAAACACGCAATCATACTTTTGGATTCAATATTCAACACAATCAATTCGTAATAGATGATATATCATGGTTTTTATAGGTTTTTGACCATGATATAAGTCCTGTTTATAGAGTCTTTTTGTTATTTTCGAATCTTTTTGAGTCTTTACAGGTTTGGATATGTTTGGAGCTTATTTGGAGATATTGGAGCATTATAGAGCAAAACAGAAGATGTTGTTGAAGAAATCAAGTCGTGCAAAAATTGTACACTCGAGCAGAAATTGTGCAGTGCGCGTGCAAATCCCGTGTCGATCGACACTAGGTTCTTAGTGTCGATCGACACCAAAAGTGCACAAATCTTGCCCGAGTTTTTAAAGATTTCTGAAGACTTACAAATTCGCCCATAAGTTTTATATATTTGCAGTTTCGCCTCAAATCGTGTTCTGGGTCTATAAAAGGATTTTTATGTCATTGTTTAGACCTAAGCTTTATTTTACAAAGAGATTAAGAGAGAGATTTTTAGAGAGTTTTTTGGAGAGATAAATCATTCTCTTTTAGAGAGGATTTTAAACTCCTTTATTTCTTCTATTGATTTCTCTTATGCTTTCTATTCAAATTATAATTTCTGTTTCATTGATCATGTCTGAGTAGTTTGCTTGTTAGGTTTAGGGTTTTTCAAAGGTGATGATGAATTGCTAGGTTGAATTGAATTGTTAGGGTAAAATCATTAGAGTTCTTCATCTGGATTTGTGTTTATTGCTTATTCTAGCTTCGTGACCTAGAATTTGATCTTAGGTTGATTAATAGATGCGGAAGTATTGTTAATCACCAGAACTAATCTTAGATGAGCAAAATTCATATCCGCAAAGGAATTTGGTTTAGGATTTTGTGAACAATTGAACCTGATTTTAATGATTGTTTGAATTGATAGGATTTGTAAAGGAATTTGGGATCCTAGGATTTAGACATAGATAATCTCTGCAGCGGAAGTTGATTGATTTTATATTAATGTTTCAAGTTCAAGAACAGTGCTTAATAAACTCTTAACATTCTGTCTAGATTTGCAATTCGGATTCACCTGCGAATTTTCCAAGGCCTAGCGTTTCTCTCTTTGATTTAAAACCTCCCAATCGATTTGCTGCTTTCTTTTTATTACTTGCATTACTTTCATTTAGTTTTGCTTAGCTTGATTTGAACCTGAAATTTATTGTGCAACAATCTAAGTCTTTGTGGATTTGATCCCTAAGTACTACAGTGATCTCTTAATTTGAGAGAGTAGCTCTAAGGGTTAATTTGAGCATATCAAATTTTGGCGCCGTTGCCGGGAACTTAATTGTTGCCTATAGATTTTAGTTTTAGAATCTTGTCTAAGTTTTTATTTTAGTTACTGATATTTTCTTGTCTGTTTCAGGTGCATGCCTAATCGCATTACTCGAAGCAACAAGAAAAAGGAGCTGATCGACTTGGACAACCAGACACTAGCACGTTTAGAGCGAACAAACAGGAAAGCAAACAAGCCTGTTAAGATGGTTGCTCTATTGGTGCTGATTCAAGGTGAAGATGGTCTGTTGTATGATGCAGAGGGCAACATGCGAAATGAAGAAGGACAGCGACTTGCTGATGATGGCGCTGTGATTGAGGAACAAGCTGTGCCACCAGTTGCGCAGAATGTGCAACAACAAGCTGCTGGGAATGCTGCTGGGCGTTTTCAACAGAGGACTCTTGGAGATTTCAATAGGCCTGATCAGTTTTATGCAAATAGAGCTGCAATCCGCCCTCCTGCCTTTCAGAGGAATGACTTTGAAGTGAAGCCTGCTTATTACCAGCTAGTAGGACAACACCCTTTCCATGGTCTTCCACATGAGCATCATATGGATCACATAGAGAGGTTTGAGGATTTGGCTTCAAGTATCAAGGCTAATGGAGTTAGCAATGACTTCCTGTTCTGCAAGCTGTTTCCTTATTCCCTGGGAGGAGATGCAGCTTATTGGCTGAAACAACTGGAGCCTGGCTCTTTGACCACTTGGGAGGACACCAAGAACACATTCCTCAACAATTTCTTTGATGATGCAAGGTCTGAAGAGTTCAGAACGAAAATTGCCTCCTTTTCTGAAGGACCAGCTGAAGCTTTCAAGGCTGCTTGGTTGAGATTCAGGTCATATCAGAGAGACTGTCCACACCATGGTTTCAATCAGGTGCAGCTACTTGGCATTTTCTTCAGGGGCGTTGATTGAAGGTACCAGATGGCTCTAGATGCTGCTAGCAATGGGAACTTCAACACCAGGATTCCAGCATATGCAAACACATTGATTGAGAACTTGGCATCTAGCAATAGTACCAAGAATGTAGACTTTGAGAGGAAGAAGCTTGCTGGAAGTGTGGATAGTAATCAGTTTGCTGCAGAAGTGAAGGCTAAGTTGGATTCTGTGCATAGCCTTCTGGTGGGTAAAAAATCAGTCCAAATTGCTGCTGAAGTGGAGCAATTCGAACCAGCTGAGGAAGAAGCTGTTAACTTCATCAATGGAGCTGGTTTTCAAGGTCAAAGGTTTGGCAGTTACCAAAAGCCTTTTCAGAGCAACAATTTCACTAGGAACTATGATTCCTCTTCTTATCAGCCACCTCCTGCGCCATCAGCCTCAAGTAAGATGGAAGCTATGCTTGAACAACTGCTAGAGGGTCAGCAGAAGATCACTGTGGACTTTAATGGGAAGATTGATGCCTTGTATACTGATTTGAACGGGAAGATTGAGTCTTTAAACACCCATGTCAGAAAATTGAATTCTCAAATTGCCCAAACTGCTGAGTCTATCAAGAGACAAGAAGGTTTTCTTCCTGGAAAGACTGATACTAACCCAAAGCATTATGTCAATGCCATCACAGTGAGAAATGCAAAAGAGGTGAATCCAGTGCTGAAAAGTTGTCTTACTGCAGAAACACCCGTACAAAATTTGTGCGATTTTGGGTGTGCAGATCTCGTGTCGATCGACACTAAGGAGGGGTGTCGATCGACACCCGTGCAAATTTTGTGCACTTCGAATTCTGACGAAGAGTTATCGATCAGGATCGACACGGATCAATGCAGAAGGTCGACACAAGGTCCTGGTGTCGATCGACACCCTATTCAAAGCGTGCAAAAACTGGGCAGCGACGTGCAAAAATTGGGCAACGTTCTGGAAACCAAAACTCAACCTGAATCTATCATAGAACGTGTCTACACTCCTAAGGTTCCATATCCTCTTCCACCAAAGCATCTAAGAAAGCCTATTAGTGATGAAAAGCTAGCTGATTTTAACAAGAGGGTGAAAAAGATTTCCAACCACATCTCATTTGCAGAGGCTTGGGAGAGATATCATTTGGGTAATTTCTTTAAGTATTGCAGAGAAAGTCTTGAAGAGATTGAAGAACTCTTTAACAAAGCAAGGACTACACCACTCCCAATGAAGCAACTGCTTAAGGTTGAAGATCCTGGGATGTTTGTTGTTCCATGCTCCATTGGAGGAGTTGAGTTTGAACATTCTCTCTGTGATTCTGGTTCTAGTGTGAATCTCATGTCAAAGAATATTGCAGAGAAGTTAGGAATTGCTGATATGAATCCTTCTCAGATGACTCTTGCTTTTGTCAACTCTTCCACCACAACTCCATATGGTACAATTATAGACTTACTTATTCAAGTGGGAGATTGTCTAGTACCTACTGATTTTCAGGTTGTGGAGATGGATAAGGATTCTGAAATGCCTTTGATTCTTGGAAGACCATTTATGGCTACAGTGGGTGCAGTTGTAGACTTGCCTAATAAGAGAATCTCCTTCTCTAACATTGCTAAAAAAGTCTTCTACAAGGCCATCCCTCCTAGTGGAACCACGAAACATGTTTCATGCATTACTGTGATCACTAGAGATAAGCTCGCAGTTGCTTCTAAGGAAAAACCTTGTGATAAGAGGGAAGCTGTTGAAGTCAAATGTGGAAATCCTAATATGACAACAAGGGAAGCTAGTAAAAGGGTGAAAGTGACTGAGACAGTGCATAGTAAAAAGATCAAAGAAGATCCTCAAGTGACTTTGATACCTCAGAGCTGTGATGGCAACACAATTGAGTATAAGGTGAAGTGCAAAAGAACTTCAAAGCCCTTCTCAAGGTTTAGAGCAGTTCTTACATCTGAGATGAAGGAGAAAGGATAAGGTGCTGTGAAAAGATTTCTGAGCAGAAATTTGAAGCTGAAAGTATCTGAATGTGGAGCTTGTTTTGCAACAAGTTTTCATGATCAGCCTGACTAAATTCCAACATCCAAGTCAAGCTAATGACTGAAAATAAGCGCTTAGTGGGAGGCAATCCACTGGTAAGTATACATACTTAGTCTTAATTTTGGTTTTTACTAACTGGTTTTTGTGTTTAAAAAAAAAAAAAAAAAAAATTTGCCTCGAGACGGACGGATATCGACCGAGGTCGACACCTTGGTCGACAGTGAACAGTGTCGATCGACACCCACCTACTGGTGTCGATCGACACCTTGACGGGACTGCAACTCCAAAAGTTCAATCATCCATAATTTTTGCGTTACTTGAGTTTTTTGAGTGATTCAAAAGCCTAAACTGGTTGGATTTTTGTGCTCTTTCACATTATATCACTCATTCATCCGACCTACAAGGTATGTTTCTCGAAAACCTCTGTTCACTGAGTTCTGATTCTTCTTTTCACCTACTTCAGGCTTGATAACATTGGGGACAGTGTTGTTTAAGTCTGGGGGAGGTAGTTACTGACGTTGTGTTTGTTTTTTAGAGTCAGTTTTGAGTTAGTCCAAAATTTGTTTTATTGAGTCAAAACTAGTTGGGAACTAGGATCTTTCTCTTGATTGTTTGTGATGATTGTTTCATCTGAGTGACCATTGCTGCATGATTAATACCTGTTTCTGACTAATGAAAAATCCTTAGGCTGACCAGTTAACTAGAAACATCCATAGTTCCAGCAAATTCCACTTAACTTAAGCTTCAAAAAGGCTAAGTTAGTAAGTCTGATATTCATAGAGCTTGATTCCTCATTCATACCTGATAAATTGCCTGCAATGTTTGAAAAGTGATGGTACTCCTCTCCCTTGATAGTTAAAGAAAAAAAAAGAAAAAATGTGATAAATTTTGAAAATTTGAGATGATTCTCTTTGAGTGAAGGGTAGAAAAATTTCCAATGATCCCAGTATTTCATTTTAAAGAGATGATCACAGGTGGAAGTAAGGTTATGATTATCCTATGATACCATTATTTACCCACACCTGCATAATATAATAAGTTTGGGGGAGAGAAAGAGTACCAAAGGTTGATAGATTGCAGTGCAAATTTATTTAGGTATAGTATGGGACTGAATCTAGAAAGTTCTTGAACATTTAGGCTGCTGATAAAGTTTAGCAATGATAGTTATTGGACAATGATGTGAATTTATGTGTTGAATCTGGGATGCTGTGAATGTCTAAGGCTAAGTACATGGTGATTCGATTTGGATTAAGAAATGCAGTGTGTGGATTACAAGATGAACAGTCAAAGCAATGATCTATGAGAAGGTGAGTTCCCGTGTTTTCAAACCTCGACTTTGTATTTAGTTTTCTGTTTACTTGGGGGCAAGCAAAAGCTAAGTCTGGGGGAGTTGATATATCATGGTTTTTATGGGTTTTTTACCATGATATAAGTCCTGTTTATAGAGTCTTTTTGTTATTTTCGAATCTTTTTGAGTCTTTACAAGTTTGGATATGTTTGGAGCTTATTTGGAGATATTGGAGCATTATGGAGCAAAACAGAAAATGTTGCTGAAGAAATCAAGTCGTGCAAAAATTGTACACTCAAGCAGAAATTGTGCAGTGCGCGTGCAAATCCCGTGTCGATCGACACTAGGGTCTTGGTGTCAATCGACACCAAAAGTGCATAAATCTTGCCGAGTTTTTAAAGATTTCTGAAGACTTATAAGTTCGCCCAGAAGTTTTATATATTTGCAGTTTCGCCTCAAATCGTGTTCTGGGCCTATAAAAAGATTTTTATGGTCATTGTTTAGACCTAAGCTTTATTTTACAAAGAGATTAAGAGAGAGATTTTTAGAGAGTTTTTGGAGAGATAAATCATTCTCCTTTAGAGAGGATTTTAAACTCCTTTATTTCTTCTATTGATTTCTCTTATGCTTTCTATTCAAATTATAATTTTTGTTTCATTGATCATGTCTGAGTAGTTTGCTTGTTAGGTTTAGGGTTTTTCAAAGGTGATGATGAATTGCTAGGTTGAATTGAATTGTTAGGGTAAAATCATTAGAGTTCTTCATCTGGATTTGTGTTTATTGCTTATTCTAGCTTCGTGACCTAGAATTTGATCTTAGGTTGATTAATAGATGCGGAAGTATTGTTAATCACCAGAACTAATCTTAGATGAGCAAAATTCATATCCGCAAAGGAATTTGGTTTAGGATTTTGTGAACAATTGAACCTGCTTTTAATGCTTGTTTGAATTGATAGGATTTGCAAAGAAATTTGGGATCCTAGGATTTAGACATAGATAATCTCTGCAGCGGAAGTTGATTGATTTTATATTAGTGTTTCAAGTTCAAGAACAGTGCTTAATAAACTCTTAACATTCTGTCTAGATTTGCAATTCGGATTCACCTGCGAATTTTCCAAAGCCTAGCGTTTCTCTCTTTGATTTAAAACCTCCCAATCGGTTTGCTGCTTTCTTTTTATTACTTGCATTACTTTCATTTAGTTTTGCTTAGCTTGATTTGAACCTGAAATTTATTGTGCAACAATCTAAGTCCTTGTGGATTCGATCCTTAAGTACTACAGTGATCTCTTAATTTGAGAGAGTAGCTCTAAGGGTTAATTTGAGCATATCAATAGACATAACAATATCAAACGGCCATGATCATCTAGCCTAACCAACCAAGATCAATCCCTTTTTAAGACCCATGTCTACTTCAGCGAGAATCCCACATCCCCTAAGCTTGTAAATGATCCGGATTACCCTGAGGTTAGCTAAACATCATATATACCACGGTAAACTCCACAATATATCATAACATAGGAATTGCTTATCAGTTCTAATACATAACATGAAAATCACACAATCAACATGCAAACATTCAACCCTAGCAATCCTACGGTCTTAGACACCAACCACAGTCACGCACTCACCTTAGACAAGGCTGGAAACAGATTGGTCAGAAGAAATCCCGATGAAAACCGCACCAAAACGAAGATATCCGATCTCCCTAAGAATCTCTCGGCTCACGGTACGATCTGATCCTTATCCCCTCTGCTATCTCTCGATCCGTTCACCTTTCTTCTAGCCAAACTCTGTTTTCCCTCAGAAACCCCACAAAACAAGGCTATTAGCTAGAGGTTATCCGATGAAAACTCAACACTTAGGGAAATATCCGATCGCTTACCAGTTTATCTCGGCGATGGTCGGTTCTGCTCGGCGATGACCTGATCTCTCTCGGATGTCCTCGGGATAAACTGTTTTTCTTAGGGTTTTCTCTCGACTATTCTCTTTCTTTGCTTTATTGCTCTCGAATAAACACAACTCTCCCGAGAAAAGTCTCAAAATCCCTTAAATACTCGCAAAACCCTAGGTAACCCGGACTTATCCGATGTTTTCCTGGTTCCAGTAAGTTTTATCCCGGTCCGATTCGATTCTCTCGGCTATTCCCTGTACTGGCTCGACCATTCCTTCGATAAACCCCAAAATAGCTGACCAAACACTTGGCCCAAGGCCCAAATCCCTTTCCACTCGGATAAACCGCCTTATCCGAGGTATTTTCCATTTTTCACCCAGATATTCCTTTTTCTCTCGGACCACTTGTCCCGTCTCGGCTAATCCTCTATTTCTCTCGGAGGTTTCCTTTTCCCCCTCGGAGACAGTCCACTGACACTCGGACTAACTTCCCAGACTCTCGAATATATCCCACTGCACTCGGATAAATCCCATTTCCCTCGGACTGGACCCTATTTTCCCTCGAATATGGTCCATCCGGCTCAGCTATCCAGCCCACATCCGACTATTTCACCGGTCAACACCCGACCATAGTCTGAACCTCCATTTCCCAGCCAATATCTAATCATTGACTCGGTCATTCCTCGGACAATGCCCTGTCCGATACGATCATTCCACATTTTCTCGGATACGGATGCTACAAGAACTTTGGATGATGCAAAAATTACTGTCGATTCTTTGTCTATATGGTACGTCAATATATTTATATGTATATATATAGTTTTCCTTTTATATGAATTTTATCATATTTTCTGTATATATATATATATTTTTTTTTTTTTGGTTGAAATTTTTTGTAACTACAATTTTCATCTGAAGCATGTCGATAAATGGTTTGGAGATGATGATTCCACTTGCTTTCTTCGCTGGAGCCGGGTGAAATTGCTTGTACCACTATTGGCTATGTGTATTTTTGTTATGTCATATGTACGTATTATAACAATAATTAACAAGAAAAACTAATTTTTTTTTGGTAGTGTAAGAGTGGCGAATGAATTAGGAGCAGGTAACGGAAATTGAAGATAGTATGTTCAAAAAAAAAAAAAAAAACAGAAATTGAAGATAGTATTATTAATGTTAGTAAAAAAAAATGAAATTACAAAATCTCACATGAGCAATGACCGACTTGTTTTCTTTTATGAATTTAAGAGTTTTCATTTCCTATCAGATATATTCCTAAGATTACAAGAGTTTTTTTGTAACAAAACTAAAACACTAATTTCACTAAGCAGGAACCCAACAAGAAGAAGCATAAAGAGTACGACCTTTCCATCCTTGTAACAACCATTTACTATTTTCATCAACCACAAAATCTTTATGATAACGCCACTTCTTCAGTTTCCCCCTAAACAACTCAACTAACTCAGCCTTAACCGGTTTCTGCCTAAACCCGGCTCTAACCATCCTCACCTGCCACTGCCTATACGTCTCCGGTCTCTCGACCCGATCCGCCTCCTCGCAAGCTATCACATTCATCGCCTCTCTCCCGTAAAACTCCCTCTCGAACCTAATCCTCTCTTGGTTATCCCGAGGCAACGTCGAATCAAACATGTCAAACAGAGCCGAGTAATGGTAAACCGCTTCTTTAAACCGGGATGTGAAGAACGGTGCGTTGAACGAACCGTTAACGATCGAATGAACGAAAACTTTCGGGTTCATTTTCTTTATCAGCTTCAAGAGAGCGTCTCTTGGACAATTCTCTTCACCTCCTGTCTCGTCTTGAAGGTTCTTGAGCCTGAGTCCAGCATTAACCGCTAAGACCTCGTTCGGTCTAATATCGAGCTCGTCGATACGAATCTTTTCCCAGTCCTGAGAGGCAATGGCTTTATACTCGAACGGGACGTTAAACCGTTTACAATACTCCTCCAGTCTCCGTCCGGTCTCTTCGATTCTTTCCGCGGGACGAAGCCCTCGCTGAGGCAGCTCTATACCGGTGATCCGTAGCTTACGCGGTGCGTCTTCCCGGTTCGATATGTACTGGATGAACATAGGCCACTGGAACCCGTAGAGGATCCCGAAATCGACTATATGAAGAACCTCTGCGTTTACAGCAGCGTCGAGAATCATCCGAAGGGAGAAGAAGTACATCAAGGTCACGAAAGGAGACGAAGAGAGATAGACTCTGTACGCTTTAAGCGTATCCGCAGCTGTATCTTTCAACGAGGTCAACGCAGAGTAATACGTCTGGATCATAGGACCGGTGCTTCCCTGAAGACGCGCCTCGAGCGCATTGGCGAAACAGTGAGCGAGTCTCTGCGCAGCGTCGCCGAGAGGAGAGGACTCTTGCCTGATCTGGAAGAGCAGATCAAGAGCTGTGGTGTTATCCCCTGTGGAAATGGCTTGTGCGCATAGAGTGAGAAGCGTGCGGAAATCAACGACCTGGCTCTTCTTCTTCTTCTTCTTACTCTTCATCTTCTTGCTCTCTCCTCTAAGAATCGCTTGACTCTCGCCGTCTAACAACGTCTGCGGATCGCATTTTCCGTCAAGAAGCAGAACCTTGTCAAACATATCCGTTATCTTCCCGTCTTCAACGTTCCCTGCAGATTGCTTACTGCTTCTTGTTTCCTCAAATTCAAGAACTTCTCTTTCGTGACTCTTCTTAACTCTCGAGTGACTCTCTTCTTCTTTAACCGGAACTCGTTCGGTTTCAAGATTTATAACCCACTGGTCGCTATTGGGAAGAAACCTCTTAGCTTCTTCAAGCCCTTTCTTAAACTGTAAAGCTGATTCTGCATCACTAAACATACTCCTAACCACAATCTCATCCACAGGTGAAGAAGAAACGATTCTCGGATAAGCTGAGTCGATGCTTCCGCTTGCATCGCTAGCAGTACTAGTGATCATCGAGTTAGAGCTAAAGGACTGAGCTTGTGAATCTGTGATCACTTGCTGCAACATTTCTTCAGTTTTTCGTAAAGCCAACGAATCGTAGAACATAGATTGCTTATCTCCGATACTCTCTTCCATAAGGATCTGGCTCACGTATTTCAACAGTGTAGCAGACGAAACGTTTTCATCAGATGGAACAGAACACTGTTCCTCCTCCTCTGTCGGATCCCAGATTGAAGATGGGTCCCCACTAAAATTAGGGCTCCGGTCGAAATACTCGAAGCCGTAATCAGAGAAGTTTGGATCCATTAATCAAAACCCTAATCGACAGAATTGTTGGTTCCTCTGCAAAAACACACACATAGAGAAGCTACCGAAGAAGAACAGAAAAACAGAGAGAGAGTCAAGGTTTGATAAGAGTAATCAAAGAGGAAGAAAGGTTCAAACTTTATATTACATAAACAAATGGAAGATCCGTAATACTATAATAGACGAGAGAAATTGAGATACCCATGTGAAAAAAAAGAGAGAGATAATACACGGGAAACACGGGAGATCGATGTCATTGCTTACCTCAGATGGTGAAGTGTGAAACAATCTGATGTACGAGGTCAAAAGAAGCAGTGATCTTTTAGATTATTACAGATGTAATTGTGGTTTGAGGACAGAGCTTCAGGAAGTGACGTTTGAGGACAGAGCTTCAGGAAGTGACGGAATGAAGTTTCCGGGAAAGAGGAAGTAGTCGAGACTCGAGAGGGAGACAAGTCTCGTCTCCAGAAGTCAAACGAATCTTGGTGGTCGTTCTTTTGACTTTTCTCATGTTTCTGTTATTTTAAGGCTTTAGTTTTGGCCCAATCCTTTGCTACACTGATAAAAAAGTCGAGTTTTTTAGGCCTTACTCTTAAAAATTAAAATTCAAAAACTAATTTATTTTCTTAATTAATTTGATAAAAGAAAACTAGTTTATTCATGCTTAAGTGAGCTAAGATAAAAAAAAAAAAAGAGACTGGAATAAAATAGCTCATTTAAAACTTTATTATGAAGAATCAAAAGAAAAAAAAGTTTTAGGATGATTTTCGATTGATATTTTATAAGATGAAAAAGAGCTTTGTGACAATTAATGTATTTTGGTAGTCTCATGGCTTTGTGATCTAATGGTAAGTTAGTGTTCATTTTTCTCATGTCTAAAAAAGACGAAATCAATTCAAACTTTGTAATTTTTTCTTTAAAATATAAACTTGAGGTTCTTTTTGAAAGGACCCCTTTTTTTACATTTTCCTCTACAAGTACTGTACTCTCTCTTTTTTTTTAAAAGATTTTCATTAAAAACTAAAAAGCTTACAAGTAAAATAAGTTTGAAACTACATCATTCCCCGAGAAGGCGAGAACCCTATCTTATGCCTAATGTTACAGTCTTGCAGAAAGAGAAAGCCCCCCCAAGAAGAAAAGGAACCTTAAACCTATACAAATATACAAATCTGAATGTCATGACTCATAAGAGATCAACAAACCCTAAAGAGAGTCAGTTTCTTGGGATGTAAGACAAAAACGTCTACATAGGAACCCAAGTAGATGAAGCATACACAATCCTGCCTTTCCATCCCTGGAGCAACCAGTTACCATCTTGATCAACATCAAACTCTTTGCTTTTGTATCCACTTTCCACCATCAACTTCAGCTTCTGAACCAGTTCCTTCTCAAGCGGAAGCTGTTTAAACCCGGCTCTCATCGCCCTCGCCTGCCACTGCTTATAACTCTCTGGTCTCTCCACTCTCTCGGTCCCTTCGCAAGCCACCACGTTCATGATCTCCCTCCCATAGAACTCTTTCTCAAACATAACCCTCATTGGATCTTCCCTAGTCAGATTCGTGTCACACATGTCAAACAGAGAAGAGTAATGAAACAGAACCTCTCTAAACCTAGTGACAAAGAAAGGCGCGTTGTAGGATCCGCTTAGGATCGCAGGGATGAACACGTCTGGTTTTATCTTCTTTATCAGCTTCAGAACCGCATCTCTCGGGCTGTTTACTGACACCGTCTCATCAAGAAGGTTCCTAAACCGGAAAAGAGAGTTCACAGCTACAAACTCGCCTTCCTTTAGCTTCAAGTCTTCAAGTTTGATTGTTTCCCATTTCTGTGCAATCCCATTATACTCAAACGGAACATTGTACCTTTGGCAATACCTAGCCAAGCGACGACCGGTCTCAAGAACTCCCTCGGCCGGTCTAAAACCGCGTTGAGGCAGCTCTATACCGGTTATCCGAAGCTTACAAGATCCACCACGTCTCCAAGCAAGTCGGTGAATCAAAGGAGGCCACTGGAAACCATAAGATATCCCAAAGTCTATGATATGAACGGTTTTGGCATTGGTACTCAAGTGCATAATGCTGTGGTTAGCGAATATGATTGCGGTTTTCTTGAATGGGCAGACCGATATATACGTCTGGTAAGCTTTCAACATGTCGGAAGCAGACGTTTTCTTGGAAGACAAGGCGGTATAAGCCTGAGTCCCTGTCCCGGCCAAGCGTGCTTCAAGACTGTTTGCGAAGTAATGAGCTAATCTCTCTGTTCCATCGCCATAAGACGAAGAATGTTGCCTAACCTTTCTTAACAACTCATCGGCCGTTCTACGGTCATTAACCGAGACAGCTTGAGCACATGAGACCAATAGTGTCCTCAGATCAGGTGTCTCTTTCATGTAACTGTTGCCAGTAGCAGCCTGAGTTGTTGTCTCGCCTTTATGACTCTTACCGAAGGATGAAGCTTTCGCTGGTTCCTTGGGGAAATTCTCGTGAAGAATGCATATAGGTTGCTCTTCAGGCCGGCCAAATATAAGAATCTTGTCAAACATTTCAGATAGCTCAGTTTCATCAACACAAACAGCTGATTGCTTCTTGCTTCTTTCTTCAGCCACATGTTCATCTTCACGCCAATGGCTTTTCTTTCCGGTTAATCTGTAAGGAACAGAGTTATTCTCCTTCGTAGGATCATTCCCCTTGGATCTTGAAGCCGCCGGGATGTAATTTTCCACATCTATAACCAACTGAGAGCTCTTAGGAAGAAACTTACTAGCTTCCTCCATACCTTTCTTGAATTGAAACGCCAGTTCGGTATCGTTAAACATATTAGAGACCAAATCATCGCTAAAACTTGACCCGAAAACCGCGTTACCACCACTTGATCTTGTTGAAGTAGACCGGAAAACAAAGTTGTTTGGGACCGGTGTGTGCAACCAAGAAGGCCTATTGTTCTCCAAACAATCAAAACTCCAATCAGAGGAAGTGGTGCTTGAGGCATAGCCTGAAGACGAACCATCAGGACTATGAGCCAATGGAACAGGGCTAGTAGAAGTAGTCATGAGAGGCGGAGAGTGTTCCGGGTACTTCTCTCCAAGAGCTTCATAGAGAGATTTCTCAGCTGCTTGAAGAGACAAAGCATCGTGAAACATACAAGCCTTCTCATCCATGTCCTCCTCCATGAGAACTTGGCTTATGTATTTTAAAACCGAATCAGAGAAATCAGTATCTGAAGCAGCAAGATTCTGTTGTGAATATGGCTCTGGAAGAGGAGGAAGAGGAGAAGCAGATGGAATATTTAACAAAGATTGATCATCCTGGTAGATTCCGTCTCCTAAACCGGTAAAATCAGTCTGGTAATTGAAATCAAAGTTGTCAAAGGATCCAGGGAATCCAGCCCAGTAAGAACCCATTTTCTCTCAAGAACCCTAATAAACCCTAGAAATTGTTCCACAAGAAAACGCAATATCCTTAATCCTTCAAAGTCTACAAGAGAAACCTCCTTTTGAAGGTTGAATCTTTTTATCTCTTCCCTGATCAAGATAGTAAACAGCAAAAAGAAAAAAATAAAAAACCAGAGAAGTCTAATCAACAAAACGGATATGATTATTATTCCCTAGGAGATAAGTTTTCTTATGGTATAAAAACAATTTTGCAAGCGTACCTGTTTGGATTAAGATGTGCCGATTCAGATTTTATGGAGGAAAAACCTTTGTGGTAGAGGAAATGGTCTGTGTAAGTGGTGGAGATGTAGTTATTTTTTTATGTATACTATAAACTATAGAGAACGAACAAATGGATGAAAGATACAATTTTTTTCAATTCTTTAATTAAAGGACATTTTATCTGTACTATGTCCTTTTATATGAATCAGAAATCCACTCGCACTCGGTCAGGAAACTTCGTTTCCGTTCGAGTTTGTAAGATGAGCATGTTGGACGTTATTTTTTTTAATTTATTTTGTAACAAAGAAAATATTGGTATTTAATTACTACGATCACGGCTATACGTTTTGACAATTTGGTGCCATCAGGTTTTTTCTTTTTTTGTAAATTTAGTATCAAAATTTTAATTTTTTATAAATAAATAAACGACATTAGTTATGTAACTCTTCTGACTGTTCTTACCAGCGAGTCACCCATTTCTTTGACAAGTTCGTGGGCTCTGTTCCTATTCAACGGCCGGTGTATTATTTTTTTTGGAGTCCAACCGACTTATTTACTGACCCTGCAATCAGCACATGATCTTTCTCCGTGTTTTGGCCTTATTCACACGGTTTCGTGAATCACTTTCCGAAAGGTCACCCATCTTAGTGCTGCTCGAGTCCAAACACGCTTAACTCTCGAGTTTCCTCAGGCTCACTAATCGAAAAGATAAGTGCACTTTGGTGACATATGTAGCCAAATTAATCCATTTAAACTTATTCAAATGGGTTGGGCCTGGATCGTTACAATTCTCTCCAACTAAACGAGAATTCGTCCCCGAATTCGGATCTCGACAGTGTGAGCCTTAACCCTCTGACTCCAAGACAGTCTCATGTGACAGAACCAGTTTGACTTCCCTGGCTCTGATACCACTTTGTAACACCCGCCTCTCATCATTTTAAGACGGAGTGCCACCCACTTAACTTTTTAACCAAGTTACCACTCTTTCAACTCAAAATCAATACTCTTTCATAAATCAAACTCAAAGTAGTCTTGCAAAGCCGACTTAAATTCAAAATAACCTCAATAGATCCTTAAAGAAAAGAAAATTCATTTAAAAAGAAAGCTAAGTGTTTTAGGTCCCCAAGGATCAAACTAAAGAACCATTCACCACCATCACACGCCAATCACTCCTGCTGCTCCTGCTCACCTGCGCAAGGGGGAAAAGGGACAGGGAGGGGATGAGTAATTTAGATTACCCAGAATAATGCATACATGTGGTCCACCACACATATCACAACCTAAACATGTCGCTAGCCATCAGCTAAACGAACAAGTATTTACAACTCTCCAATAATCAACAATCAACAAACAATCCTAATAGGTATAAGTAGGAACTGCATCTACCATAACCTCAACAATCAATCATATATGTCTAGGTAAGAACTGCATCTACCATAACCTCAACAACCCTACTAGTGGAACTACATCACTTTCAACTATCGGTATAGGTAGGAACTGCATCTATCGTAATCTCAAACAATCCGATAAGTGGAACTACATCATTCTCGGCCCTCATGTCTAGGTAGGAACTACATCTACCATAACCTCAATAATCTGACAAGTAGAACTGCATCAATTTCGGCTCCTAATGCTTGTGCTCTTAACACTCTATATGCAATGCAACCTACAATTCTCACAAGCAATCAAACACCAAATAACAATCAACAATATTAACCGTGGTATTAAATCTATGTTCAGAAACATGTAAAAATAAATCAACCACACAACAATCAACTACAACTTACGCCATAAGCACAACCTGCAGGTGGAAAGGAATCTGCTTATCTTTAACCAGAGACAAGCGTGAAAGATAATACCGAAGGGAAGACATGGTTACATCCTCACCTTTCACGGATTGAATGAACAACTAAAACAAAAGGGGTTATGGTTTAGGGATCTAACGACAAGAAACAGAAAACATAAGACGACAGCGAGACGGCGCAAACGAACGGTGACGGCAGCTCCTCTCTCCTTCGACGACGGGTGGCAATGGCTGAAGGCTATGGTTCAGAGTTTTTATCTCTGAATGATCTGGGGAATTGTGATGAGGATTCTCCTTCTCCACATCCCTTTATATAGAGGGGGGGAGGGGGGAGAGAAAACTCTAGGTTAGAGTTTTTATAATCTAATGAGCTTAAAAAAGCTTAACGGAGTTTAACACATTAATGAAAAAAATAACAGAACCGGATGTTACAAGTCAAATGGTTCAGATTTTACATAAAAGTGAAAATTTTCATCAGTGCAAGATATATCAAATCGGGACAAGCCCAATACATTTTGAATAGGCATAATGAAAAGATTAACAAGTTTAATGTGGTTTGAAAACAAAATACTTTTTTATTTATACCATACTTATGAAAACATTGTAGCTTGAGAGTTCAGTTACCACAAAGCAACTCTCTATTTTTATATTTCTAGTCTTTTTTAGGATGCAATTTTTTTATAAGAAGAAAAATCCATACAATTAAATCAGGTTCACTTCAATGTTTAAACATAAATCATGTGTTATATTACATGAAATGCCATTGCATTTTAACCTTTTCCTTAGAATTTCATTAATGGTAGTTTAGTCATTTGTTAATACAACCAATTAATATTTATTTTATTTTTTCTTTATTTAGTTCTTATATTCCTATTACCAAACACATTAATTTTCAAATACTATTTGGATTAGTTTAACTCTAATTACCAAACACATTTAAATAATTTAAATATTTCCATAAATAGTTATTTCGAAAATTCTAATTAATCTTAGAACTATTTACATCCAAGTTTATATAAAATGAAATTATAATTATAATTAATATATATGTATAAGATTAAATTATAAACAATTATATAATTTAAAACATTTTGCAAAAAAATAACAAATAATAATTTTCAAATATTTATTATTATGTAACATTATAAGAAAATAAAAATTATAATTAATATAATTAAATTATATACATTGACACAATATAAAAGAAAAATCGCAAAACAATTATTTGAAAAACAAAAATTATATTTTTATTATTATGCAATAATATAACCAAAGACATATGTTTATAGGAAAATAAACTAAAACCTAATTTTTATGAATAATTATATATTATTTGTTATATGTTTAGTGCAATCTAATATTAAATTAAATTTTGATTAAATTAATTTCAAATTTAAAAGCATCATGATCAAATTTAAAAAAACTATGATTAATTAACAGTAAATTATAATAACCATATAATTTTATTTAAATTATATTTAGTTCTATAAAGTATCTAATGAATCAATTTTGTAATATTTTATTAATATTTGATTATTAAAATTATGGAGCAAGCTTCTCAAATAAAAATCAAAATATTTTTAATTAAGAAACAGTAACTGCATAAATTTAAAGCATATTCTAAAAAATATGGATTTTAGCATATTTTCAAAAATATTACAAACAATATTGATAAATTATTTATTGTAGATGTAATAACATATTAATAATAGGAAAAATCTGTAAATTAATAAAAAAATTCGTAATTTACAATTAACATAATAAAACTATTTATGATAATAGTATTTCAATAAACTATATGAGAAATACAAACAGTAACTCACATTATCTCATTTTCTCTAATTGGCTAATTTTTTTTCTCTATTTAGATTTTCAAAAAAAATATCTTTGCAAACATCAATATTTTTTAGTCGAAATTAATTTTTTATATGTTAAATATTTTGTTTCAGTTTGTTTACTATGTATATGATTGTTATTTTTAATATTTTTAGTTTTAAATTTATCATTTTTTGTTTGACAAAGAAGAAAAAAAACAAATAAGAAAGAGAAGAAGAAGGAGGAGAATAAAGAGAAGGGATGGATGAGAAAAAGTGTAGATGAAAAAGAATAACAACAGAGAAGAAGAAAGAGAAAAAAAAATAGAAGAACATGAGAAGAAGGAGAATAAGTGTAAAGAAGAAGAAGGAAAAGAAAAGATAATAAGAAGGGATGGAAAAGAAGAAAAACGAATGAGAAGAAGGAGAAGTGATGACGAATAAGACCAATAGAGAAGATGAAAAAAAGGGAAAAGAAGAAGAAGAAGGGATGAAGAAGAATATGGATACATAAGAAGAAGAAGAAGGGAGAGGAAGAACAATGAAGGAGAAGGAGAAGAATGAGAAGAAAGAATGAAAAAGAAGAAGAAGAAGGGATGAAGGAGAAGACGAAGGAGTAACCAAGAGTCGTTAACTTGACTGGTAAAGGATCTAGGCAAAGCTTAGAGATCACATGATCGAGTGACGCTTATGATTAAACTAATATTACATGATGTGGTTTTGGGCCTGCAGATATTGCAGGCTTCAGTCCAAACCTTCATGGTAATTCAAAAAAGGAAGAAGGAGAAAAACGGAGAAAAGGAAAAACAAAGGATAAAAAGGAGAAGGAGAAGAACAAAAATAAATGAAGGGAGAGAAGAAGAAAAAAGGAAGAAGAAGCGGGAGAAACAGAAAGAGAAAAAAAAACATAAAAAAAGAAACATATAATAGAAAAAGAAGAGAAGAAAAACATAAAAGAGGAAACATATAATAAAAATGAAGAAGAAAGAATAGGAAAGGAGAAGGAGAAGGAGAAGAAAAAAAACTAAATACAATATTAAAAAACATAAATTTCATATAAAACCAATAACATATTATCATAGTTTACAATAACAACTCGTGTGTCTACAATATTGAATTAGTTACACATAACTTATATTATCTTATTTTTAATTTTATATATTTTGTATTTACAAAATTTAATTTTAATCCTCATAATACATAAATAAACAATATATTATTAATATAACTATAGTTTTATTTTGGTAGAAGAGGGTGGGGGAAACATTGTCCCCTGATTTTATTCAAAACATAAAAACCAGCTACACATAAACTCTTCTTGGGCGTGCAGAACCAATCATATCGTAACTGAAAATCGAAACTAAACTAGGTGGAACCGAATCTAAAAACTGGACACCTAGAGGAAAGGAAAAAAGTAGAGTTAGCTAATCCATCAGCAAGACAATTAGCTTTTCTGTTAGCAAAAAAAATGACAATTAGCTTTTTTATACACATATAAAAAACGGACTATTCATTCTTTCGAAATAAAACCATGATACATATGTACCAGAAAACAGACAATTTTATAATATAATATATAATAAATCTTCTTATACTACATAATTTAAATATTTATAAAATTTACTTTAAGAATCATATATCCCCGCGCAGGTCCAACATCTAGTTTACATTAAAAATTTTGTATACATCGGGTTTTCAATACCCCATGTTTAAGCGTCTTATATATATAACTTTTTAGTATTTGATTATCATTCCAAAGAACCTAATAATAATGTATTTCATTCATCGATCTACATATGTACTTGTTGTGTTATGAAAATATTCATTTCCACAATTTCTCAGGATTACTACAAGACCACAGAACTCATAAAGATGATCAACTCAAAACTCGGTGTAATCCTTTGTATATTAAAGAAAAACAAAAATATGTTTGTCGATGTGTTATTGTCAAAGTCAGATGGTGGTGGGATCATCATATTCGCACTAACCATGTAAGACACTCAAAATATGATTATATAATTTTATTTTAAGTAATCAATTTCAAATATTTAATTGCCACTAAGATATCGTGGATTAAAAATATCATCAGTCTACATGCACTTCCATAAAACCAAACAATTGATGAGAAAAATCCAAAATGTTTCATAGAGAAACTTTGTTCATCTTTCTCTTTTCACCGCCCACGTTTCATTATATAGAAATGGTCATCGTCTCATAATACATATGCAGTAAAACAAGAAGTGTAACCGGACAATGATCAGAAACAAGAATCAGAACTTGTGATTCACTCATTCACAAGTGCATTGATCAAATCAAATAAACAATCAATCAATTTTTCTCTTCTCAAGACATTCCTAATCTCTACAGAGTAAAAAAATAAATTTAGACGTTTAGTGGTAATCAGCTGCATAATTGGGAACACAACTGCTGAATCTGGGAAGGGTTATCGCTAGCGAGCTTATACATCTCTGTTCTCCCATTAGCAATACATGTCAAGTTCATCTGCCTCCCAATTTGGCTCGACTGCACAAAAAATCACCATTTCCACAATCATTCTCCACCTATCTATTAACTCAAGAACACTAAAGATCCAAAATTAAGTTCTTACCTCACAGTACACATTTTGAGATTTACAGTTCCATAGAGACGTTGGCACACAGCTGAGATAATGGCACCATGAACAATGCTTGTTCAAATCCGTCCCTCGAAGAAGCACCACGAGTCCAAGAGTGTATCTGCCAACATATTTTCATTTATTAATATCAAAGGTTTAAACTGGTGAACATAAAAGTAATAATAGGAATGAATAAGAAAAGGAATGAAAAGAACAAAATAATAGGAATTATTGTTCCTTCTCATTTTTTATAAAGAATATATTAACATTATAGTTCCCTAAAACATAAGGAATGAGAAGGAATCATGGGTACAATATATTCCTTTTAAATGGTGTAATTTTTAAGGAATGAGAAGGAATTTAGTATTCCTTTCCATTCCTTATAGTCACCAGTTACAGCCAAAGAGTTGACTTGGAGCATCATGGTGGAATCAAGAAAACTCACCCTGCTATCAAAAGCACTAAAGAGGTGATCCAAAGAACGTATTGGTATGGTTTGTGTTTGGATTTAGCAGAAGGTGCAGCGTAGCCACGAGGATTGTTCCTCTGGTTGAAGTAACCATATTGAGGACGGATCAAGAAAACAAAGCCTAGAAGAAACCCTGAAGTGAATCCTCCGAGATGGGCAAAGTTGTCTACATGTGGAAGAATACCTACTGCTAGATTAATGGCTATGATGAAGATGAGAGTCAAAAGAGCTGCAAACTGCAAATGGAATGAAACTTTTAGAGAAGATCATTTCAAGAAGATGGGAGAAAGTGAAGATTTTAATACCTTATTTGCGTATATAGTCCAGTTAGTGAGAAGCTCTGAAAGCATAGCACCAAGCAAACCGAACAGTGCGCCAGATGCACCGACGGATATACCATTCCGGTTAAAGAGAGACGATAACAAGCTTCCACCAAATCCAGAAATCATATAGAGCAGTCCAATGCGTACTGTTAAAGAAAAGAAAAATCCAAAGATCAAGAAAAGGCGAGTCTTCAGCATCAACCATACACACACTTTGGCACATAAATCAACTCACGACCAAGCAATCTTGCAGCAGTACTACTAGACAAAAGAAAAAATTGTTGGCAAGAACATGAAAATTGAGAGTAACGGATTCATAGTTCTTAAATGGACAAAGAGAAAAACTTTTATACCAAATCCAAATTCTTGCTCGAGACGAATGCCAATGAAGATAAGGCTCAACATATTGGCAAGGACATGAAAGACCCCTGCATGTAGCCATATACAAGTGAACAAGCGCCACACCTGATGCTTATGAACCACCATTGTTACATCTAAAGCCCCCATCTTCTCCAATCTGATATGAAAAAAACAACACATAATTAGTAACATTTTAACATCAAAATTGAAAAGATTTACACCACTCTAAGTAAGCACTCAGTCACCACATCCTAAACAAATTATCCATAAACTGAAAGCTCATTACCATAAACTATACTAACTATGAAAATGCAATGCCACAACTTTACCTCACTTTCATGTATGGATTTTGCCAATTTATTCACCAAAATTTCACATTCAGCCCTCACAATCTAAGATCTAGAAAAAGAGTAGCATTTTACTCAGCAGGAGAAGTTGAAAAAATAATCCAGAAAAGTCAATTAAAATTCTACAAGTAATGAAATTTATTTAAGAACCCACCACCATTTAAAAAAAACCCAATCACTAGAAAGATAGAAAACCTAAATTTTTCAAACTCTTAAAAAACGAATCTCTGCATATTCTCTCAATGAAAGTTAGAAGCTTTTAAGGTTACCCACGTCGTAGAAGAAGGACCCAGAAGAGGATTCTCTTTCATGGGCTGAAATGAGAATCTCCCGAGAAACCTAGCTGAGCAATGAGGCGAGTTTTTAGGGCAATTGTTGATGAACATCGAAATGGCGAAGAGAGCAATGTTAGCCACCACGACGGCTGGAACCAGCCATGGAAACCAGAGCTTGAAAGGCCGAAACTCCGCGAAAGAAGTCCGCTGCCTCCGCCGGCGACCCGCCGGAGAAGTTTGTTCGGACGCATTGTTTGTCGGTGGATTCACAACCTTGATCTCTAGACCCTCCCGCCGATCTCGAGCCATTTCGAAAAGCCCAAGTCTCTTCTTCTTCCTCCTCCGAATTGGAAAAAACTAACAGACCCTAAAAGAAAGGATCGAGCTTTCACGACATTGTTTCTACAGAAAGCCGAAGGAATCAAAATGGGAAGGCGAGAAGATGAATCAATCGTCTTTCCTCTTTTTGAGCATTCCTCGTGAAGAAGCTAATTAAATGAATTTAATGGCAAATATATTATTAACTGTTAATCACATGATCAAGAATATTAAATCTATTAATATATAGTAACTGTATTATATAGTTTGAGTTGAAAAAAAAATAGAAACTATTCCTTTCCGTTTCCTGTAAATCCAGAAAATATGTTCCTTGCCTTCGAATCCAAAATGATAATTTGACTTAGCTTCTAAAATCGTCAAAACACGTTAAAAGATTTGTAATAATTAATTCTATACATATGGATTATAGACACGATTTTCAAACGATAATAGAGATATCTTATCAATAATTTCATTTTACTCGACTTAGGTACTAATTATTTAATAGATCTAATAGATTACACATAAAATATTCGTTGCAACATTTGAGAATCGAATATCTGATGCAGGCCCAACGAAGAGTGTGGGCCTATAAAGATGGTTACAAAAGCGTCCGAAATAAAGTTTTGCTACCTTTATAACGAGCTATATTTTCCTAATAAATGTGTACATTTTCTTACTATAATCAATTAACTAAAGAAGATTTTCAAATCTATGTGAATGAACACATAAGGAAGGACACATGTACGAGAAAATCTTGATTATACATGTTTCCAAATGATAGTAACTAATGATTAAATCATAGTAATTAACGTTTAGTTTGTTTAAGAAAAGTCATATCAATTCATTAATTACACAACTATACCTTTGAACGCTTCAACACCCTCACAATCTCCAATCTCCAATCTCTCACACACAGCCTCTATTCGTTTTCTGAATCTGCCAGAGATCTATTTTGCCCTAAATCTCTCATTCATCAGACTCAGAACCGTCACATAATTACGAGATTCCTTGTGCCGCAAGCAATAAAATCAGGTTTTGGAAGGCGAGATTTGGCCGATGCATGAGAAAACCACAAAGGAGAGGAGCGATGGCGATGGAGAAGACGAGCTCAAAGTATAGAACACAGTTCTGGTACGTTGCAATGGCCTCTTTCCTCCTATGGCTTTTCTTGCTTTACCTTTTCAATTCCTCCGCAACAACCGTTCATAACCACGAGAGATTGTTCCGACAAGACAACGTCATCGATCTCTCTGTCAACGTCCAACAGCACCACGAACCCGATCAGCCTCTTGTCTCCGCCGTAGATAACAGCACTCTTCCTGTTCCCGTCGACGATTCGTCTCCTGAAGATCGGATTTCGGAAGACGCGAAGGTTGTGAATGATCTCGTTGAAGAACTCGAGAAAGAAAAGGTAGAGAACGAGAAGAAGAGAGGTGGTACGGTTATAAATGGTCGGTCCACGAGGGCGAGAAGAGGACATCGAGAACCGCGAAAGGCGAGATCTTCCGGTAGAGCAGAGGCTGATAAGAAAAGGGTTCGTCGTAAGGATGATGATGAGAGCATAAATGTTGATGACAACGATGACAATCATCAATCAATATTCGACAAAGAAACAAACGTTCTAGAGTCTGAAAACGTCGCGGAGTCCAAGAAAGAGAGAGATGATGATGATAACAACGATTCCGAGAGCAAGAGTGGCAATGAATTGCCTAATGATTGGTCCGATATTGATCTTGAAGGTGATAACACCTCGGAAATAGTATCGGAAGAGCGAAATAGTACTACTTCCGAGGCTAAAACCAGAGTAAACTCGAAGAGAAACCAACCTAGGAGAGTCCCGAGAGTTATAGTACGGCCAAGAACGCGTCGTAACGATCCATGCGCAGGAAAATACGTTTACATGCACGATGTTCCAGCTCTGTTCAACGAAGAGCTTCTCAAGAATTGCTGGACATTGAGTAAGTGGACCGATATGTGCGAGTTAACATCGAATTTCGGTTTAGGCCCTCGTCTACCAAACATGGAAGGAGTTTCTGGTTGGTTTGCTACAAACCAGTTCACATTGGAAGTGATATTCCACAACCGGATGAAGCAGTACAAGTGCTTGACCAAAGACTCGTCTCTTGCTTCGGCTGTGTACGTTCCTTACTATCCTGGTTTAGACTTGATGAGGTTTCTTTGGGGACCGTTTCCTTTCATGAGAGATGCGGCGGCGCTTGATCTGATGAAGTGGCTGAGGGAGAGTCCGGAGTGGAAGAGAATGGACGGTCGAGATCATTTCATGGTGGCTGGTCGTACCACTTGGGACTTTATGCGTACACCAGAGAATGAATCCGATTGGGGCAACAGGTACGCCACCAATCTTAATTTGTTTGATTAAAACTAAAGTGCATGATAAACACAAGAGTAATCATGATTAGCTAAAATACTAATATATCGATAACGTTTCACTTTTGCTAGTTAGTATTATATAGCACTTCAAAAACTTGAAAACATAAAAGAAAAAATTGTAGTTAGTATAACATTGTGAAATGACAAAATCATAGCATATAAAAACAAATATGTAGAAAGGAAAAAGTTAAGCAATGACAATTATTTTAATATTTTTCATCAATCTTGAGGATGAAAAATGAGTGTATGAAATGACAAATGGTTAAGCAAGAAAAGCTTCACTTAATCACCTCAAAAATTACAGATAATTAACAGAGAGTTTCTTATATATGCCATTAATAGAGAGCATGCATATGAATGTTTTAGTTTCTTTTTTTAAAGGACAAGATTTCTCATTTGTTGTCTCTCTCTTTATTTTCTACCTAGCTAGGTTAATGATCTTACCGGAAATAAGAAACATGACGATGTTACTAATCGAATCAAGCCCATGGAACTACCACGGATTCGCGGTTCCATACCCGACCTACTTCCACCCTTCAAGCAACGCAGAGATCCTCCAATGGCAGAACCGAATGAGAAGAATCAAACGTCGTTACCTCTTCTCCTTCGTAGGTGCACCGCGTCCAAACCTAGGTGACAGCATAAGAACAGAGATCATGGACCAATGCAAAGCTTCCCGAAGAAAATGCAAGCTTCTTGAATGCGTCTCCGGTTCTCAAAAATGCTACAAACCGGACCAGATCATGAAGTTCTTCTTGAGCTCAACGTTCTGTCTCCAACCTCCCGGTGACTCCTACACACGACGCTCCACTTTTGACTCGATCTTGGCCGGTTGCATACCGGTTTTCTTCCATCCGGGATCAGCTTACGCCCAGTACATTTGGCATTTACCGAAAGATATCGGTAAATACTCTGTTTTTATACCGGAGAAGAACGTTAAAGAAGGTAAAGTGAGTATAGAGAAGGTTTTGAGTAGGATCCCGAGAGCGAAAGTTGTCGCCATGAGAGAAGAAGTGATAAAGTTGATACCGAGGTTGATGTATTTTAATCCATCGGGTAAGAGAGGAGATGCGGGAAGGTTTGAAGATGCGTTTGATGTGGCTGTTGAAGGAGTGTTGCAGAGAGTGGAAGGGTTAAGGAAGAGGATTGAAGAAGGCAATGAGGAGATTTTTGATTTTCCAGAGCAGTTTTCTTGGAAATATAATGTGTTTGGGAATGTTGAGAGGCATCATGAGTGGGATTCTTATTTTGATAGGCCTTAATTTGTTTTTGAGTATTTAGATTATGTTTGTGTGTGTTTTTTCTTTTTATATAATTTGTTGGGAGATAAGTGAATGTAGTTTGTGATTGTGATGGTAGAAAAGAAAGTGGTGACTGGTGAGGCAGAGAATGTTCAAAAGGGTTCATTGGTTGGGACAATAAACTTATTTACTCTAGAAATGGTGTTATTCTTTTAGGCTTTTACTTATATATGATTTTATTGAAGAAATTTTTACCCTAGTGCATGTGAGTTAAAAAAAAAATAGTAAACAAGAAAAAAAAAATAATTGGATTTTCATTTTTATAAAGAATGCTTTAAGGTTTTTAGAATTATTAAAGCTTCATAGGAGATTTTAAATTCTTTAAATTTTTATGTCTAGATTGTATTTCTTTTGCCTCTGTTCTAGTACAACCATCAAAGCGTCTGTAGTCCAACGGTTAGGATAATTGCCTTCCAAGCAATAGACCCGGGTTCGACTCCCGGCAGACGCATTTGTTTTTCCAATTTAGTTATTTTTCTCTTCTTCACGATTCTTCTGCTTCATTTGATTTTTCATATTAGCCAAAGTCATAGCATCAAAGCGTCTGTAGTCCAACGGTTAGGATAATTGCCTTCCAAGCAATAGACCCGGGTTCGACTCCCGGCAGACGCATTTGTTTTTTCCTACGGAGTATTTTTTCCCTTCTTCACGAAACCTTTGTGAAGATATTTCACACGAACCCGGTTCATTGACATATTTTCTCAATTGTACATCATCAGTGAAGACTTTTGTACCAAAATTTGGAAAGTCTGGTAAAGATGCCATAATTTTAGAATAAACACAAAACCTTGCGTAATAATAATAGTTTTATTACACAAAAATCCAAAATAAAAACATAGTAATTGACAAAAACAAAGGAAACCATAAAGTTCCATTGAAAATCTACCAATGCTAGTTCCCATCTTCAGAAAACAAAAGCATCAAGACGCAAGTAAATCGGAGAAACCATGAAAGGTGGCATGTTCTGCTAAAACTTCTTCCGAGCAGGCTTAAGCGCAAGACAGAGAGTGTCTCTATTCAAAAGCTAGACAAGCTATACACCAGAATCCACGCAAGCTGAAACATAATGATGCATCACAACCAAATCAACTTTTAAGATGCAAGAAAATCTAAAGACTATATCTTAGGGTAGAAAACATGAAGAATCAATGCATAGTCAAACCATATACTATCTTACATACCAGGAATAAACTTAGGGAAGCAAATAGACCGTCCTGGAGCAAAGCCGCATGACCACCATAGTCTTCTTCATCGATCTTTAGAATCAACGCGTAGTAACCATATACTATGCCAGAGGATATCGCCAGAAAGCTGCCAAATTTCAAGAACGCAACTTGTCAAGAGAAAATCAACTTAAACTGGGCCTAAGTAACATACAAAGAACTGCTATGTAGTGTGATTGTAAAAGAAAAACTCAAAATCCTATGAATGTCGTTGAAAACTCTCAAAGATAAACTTAAGCTCAAAAGTCAAAGACTTTTTAACTAATCAATGCAAACAAAAACTATAATTGAACGCTGGTGTTTTGATGGTAACTCATCACTCTATTTCTCTGTTGTGATAAACCAATTTCACCTAAAAGGTGGAATCTTTTTCTTGCAAACATGTACACAAATTTGAGGTTAAACTCAAAGGACTTACTATTGTATGAAAGGTGATGGCTTTTAAGAGTTTTTCTGCTAATCAATGTAGAACAAAAGACAGTGAAAACCAAAAGATACAATGGCCATAACTGATGCGCTTCGTTGTTAAGGCAAGAGGTTCCATTTCTATGTGGCCAAGCTTTGTACACATTGCCCAAAAATGATAAATGAAGAACTTACAGAAGTAGCCAAATGCCACCAACCAAAGGTATCGCACCCCACAACAATCCGCAGAGCAATCCAACCACTTGCCTGATCCAATGCAACACATCTCCCAATTGATCCTGTCCCAACACCAACCACACACTTTAAAACCCATTTCAGAAACTATCTTGTCTTAAGCTAATCAATCATAGTCCTTAAGCTAATCCCCCAATAAGGAAACATATTCACTGTTTGTTCATAACAAGATCTTATACAGTTAAGCTACAGATTCAGGATAAAGTAATCAACTTTAGATCCTAGGAATTCTCTGAGGGAGACTAATTTATTACCTTGTCCCAGGAAGCTTCTGAATCGAACAATTTGGCGAGTTTGAAAGAGCCCAAGTGACTGTTTTGGTGGTGAATCTGTTCATGGTTGTCTTGGTGATTCAACTTCGCAGATTTTCCTTCTTTCATATTTCCAATTTGATTTCAAGAAAAATCCTCCGACCCGATGCAAAACCCAGTTCGAAAGATCAGATTTTAGTGTCAAAACCCTGATCCGATTCGATTGATGAGAGTAGAATCGAATCTAGGGTACTTCTTTACTTCTTACCGATTTCTGAGATTTTGTTTTGGTTTTTGCTTATGAGATCTGAATCGACCAGTGACCACCGGGAAATTAATAGAATTTTTTTTCTTTCTTTTTATTTTTTTATTTTTTTTTTCTCAATGTACATCTAGTTTCTGTGCCACGCACGTGACAGTAATTTAGCAGGCAAATCAAAATACAAAAATGTTTTCTTTGTTATAAATTAATTGTTAATTAATTGTTGGATAGATGAAATATATGTATATGCATATATAATATAGAGTAACTGCATTCTATGGTCCTAAATAATTTGATAATTAATTGACTAAATTTTTTTCTCTCTTTTCACTACTATTTATTCTAATAAGACATAACATATTTTTTTTTTTTTTATTTCTTAAAATCAACAGAAAATTTTTTATAATTTTTTATGTCTTCGTCTTTCTCCACCAGATCAATTTTTCACTCTTTCATGCAAAATCTTTTTCTCACATGTCTTCAATTTTTTTACGAATTTATTTGTGTATCTCTCTCTTATATAAATTTCGAAGATGATGATAGTTGCGGTGATGGTATGTGGAAATAATGATAAAAAATGATGATGGTGATGGTGGTTTTGTCGATGGTGGCAGTGGTGATGGTTATCGGTGGTAGTGGTGGTTTTGTTGATGGTGGTGGTGGTCGGTGGTGATGATGGAGTCAGCGGTGGTGGTGGTGGTCGATAAAAAGGATGTTGTTGGTGGTGGTGATGAAGTCGCCGGTGGTGGTGGTGGTGGTGGTGGTGGTGGTAGTGTCGGTGGTAGTGATGGTGGTGGTAGTGATCGGTGGTGGTGGTGGTGGTTATAGGTGGTGGTGGTGATGATAGTGATAAGGTGGAAGATAGTAATATCAACGTTAACACGATAAATATCATGCTCACAATGTTAGTATGATTTTTTTTTTTTAACATGATAACATTGTTAACATGATAATTTTGTATAACTTATACATTTAACAAAATTAACTTCCATTTTTCATGAAATGATAGCAACGTTAGCGTGGTAGTTATCATGGTCACAAAGTTAGTATGATAATTGTTTTGATATGATAACATGGTTAACATGATAATTTCATTTTTTATTATATGATATTAGTTAATTCGATATTTATACAATGTGCTAATCGAGCATCATATTAGTTAGCATATTTAACATAGTTAGCACAATATCATATTACTTAGCATGATAATTGAATTGTTATCCATTCAAACCGCATCACAAAAGTTTAGGGGTAAAATAATCATAATTTACATATGTAATTTGTATCAACCTAATTTTTGATTATTAGCTCCAGTTTTTTAATTGTCAGATTATTTTGGGCCATCTACTAAATTTTTCCTATAACATATGCAATAATATTATAAATGAGAGAGATATACAAGATGGAAATATAGAAGGTTGATTGTTTTTATGTAATTGTTCTTGTTTCTTATATGTCTACAAAAAAGGAAACCAACACCTATTTATATACATAGGTAAGTCGGTGAGAAATATCAGTAGATGTGAAATGATAATTTATTTCATAATATGGATGTGAATGGATAATCAAATCCATTTCATAATATTTTTTTTATTATTTTTCTGTCTCATTTATTTTATCCAAGTTTAAATTTATTGTAAGTGTGAATTTGCTATGATATATATTAAAATCACATCCAAAATTCAAACTATTTTGAGTAATCACATACAAATAGTGAATCAAAATATTTATAAATAAATTCATTGGCCGAATTTTATATATTAAAAAACAAACCATAGTTATGGTATTGATGTGAATCATGCATGAACAATGTGTAAAGAAGACAACTCAAAGAACAAGACCTCTATAATTAACAAAACTCCAAACAATTTTCAGTTTTTTATCCTTCTCCACACAATTTTCTTTCATACGACAAACAGAAACAAAAATCAATTCACCTAACAAAGTACAAATCTTATATAAAATAGTAACGTCAAGTACATTTTTTCTTTTTTTTTTAATTTTTTATTTCTCTTGGATTTTCTCTCATCGAACAAATATAAAAACAATTTTTTTTTTCAATTCTTCATTATATTTTCTTTCATTATGTTTTCTATTTTATATTATTTAGAAGATTTATTTTAGCTTTTAAGAGTTGATTGTGTCATTGTTTCTGCGTGAAAAATAGATTTTTCTTTTCATGTTTCCTTTATGGCCAACCGGACAGAAAATCATGCACTATTTTCTTTCATGAATTTTTTTTAGATTCTTTTCTACTCCATAGAACCTTAAACATCCACCACTATCACAATATGAATTCTACTCTCTCGGACCTCTTTTCCCATGTGCTTTCATGGAATGGTAGCAACTTAACTCTTCTAATAAGGTCAAACCTCATTTTCTATAGATTTTTAATTTTTCCAACCTTTTAACACAAAATTTTAAAAATTTAGATAATATTAACAAATTATTAACTAATATTTACAAATAAATATTTACTAACAAATACAATAAAATAAGTTATAAAATTAAAATAGTTAAAATATCTCTACTAAATTCTCTTTTATAGAATAAACACAAAAACAATGGAAAAAAACTTTTTTTTCATTCTCCATATGATTTTCTTTCGTACAATAAATAAAAAAAATTAAATCACCCAAAAAAGTAAAAATCTTATATAAAATAGTAATGTCAGGTTTCGCATTTTTTTTTTCATATTTCTCCTGGATTCTCTCTCATTGAACAAATACAAAAACAACATTTTATTTTTTTCCTTCTCCTTTAGATTCTCTTTCATTATGTTTCATACTTTATATTATTTAAGAAGATTTTTTTTTAAAAAAATTTTAAGAGCTTACTGGATCATTGTTTCTGCGCGAAAATAGATTATTTTCTTCATGTTTCTTTTGTGGCCAATCGAACAGAAATATGACTATTTGCCTTTATGAAATCTTTTCTACAAAAAATAGGCGAATTACATCATTTAAATTGTATCATAAAACTAAGTAATATTAATTTTAAATTACTTATTAATAAATAACACAAAATATGTGATTTAACGTCACTTATGATAATTGATGTTTTTATTGATTATTTGACTTCAGTTCAACATAATTGATACAAATTTATATTAGTTTACATCAGTTAAACAAAATTGATATAATATTATGAATTCACATCATTTAAATAATCGATGTAATCAATAATTTTTGTTAACATTACTTAAAAAATGATATAAATTTTATATCAGGTGAAAACTGATGTAACTAATATTTTATACTTTGTCCCACATCGCTATTTGGTTAAAAATGAAAGAGAGAACATGTCTACATATATTGAAACTTAAAATTATATATAATTACCAATAAAATTAATTTTAGACTTTTAATCTATTAAAATATTATTGATGCATCAATTTTTGGATTGAAATAATCTTATTATTTTATTTTTTATGAAAAATAATAATACATTTAAATTATTTTAAAAATCTGATATATAATTATAATACTATTTAAACTAATTTTAACATTATTTATTATAATCGTCACAAATACTAATATCATTTATAAAAATTGATGTAAACAATAACATCAGCTTTTGTAATTGACACATTTGACATCAATTTCAACAATTGATGCAAAAATAAAATATATTTACATCAATTGATAACAAACTGATGTTAATTATTTGCATCACCACATTCAAGATCAGTTTTACAAGTGATGTAAAATCTGTTTGTATGAGTTATAACTAATGCAAATATATAAAAGAAATGATACAACACACCCATTTTTTAATGACTCACTACTTTCCTCCCTACTTCGTAGAACTTCAAACTGCCACCAGTATCACAATATGAATTCTACTCTCCAAGACTTACTTTTTGATCATCCATGTGTGCTTTCATGGAACAATGGCAGTTTAACTCTTCTAATAGGATCAAACCTTATTCTCTATAGATATTATTATTTTTCCAATATTATAATATAAAATATAAAAATTTACATAATATTCACAACTTATAAACTAATATTTAAAAACAAATATTACTAACAATTATGATAAATTAAATTATATAAAATAGTCAAAATATCATAATTCTGCACAAAGCATAGACCTTATACTAGTATTCTATATTTTAATACAAATATTATGTAAATATTCTTTTAGATTTATGTTTACCTTTTTAGTATATCATGTACATGTATAAATATAAGACCGGAGGACCCAAAGGAATACAAGTTAAGTTTTTCCAATTTTAATTTGTTATTTTCTATCAAAAACACAAATGTTAATTGTTGATATTAGCAACTCTCTCCAATTGAGTGCCACATCAACGCTGGAGAGAGTGACATCTGTCTTTTCAAATTTTATAAATAATAATTTATTATTATGATATATTTAAAGTCAGATTAATTAATTATTTACCTTTTAATTAAATGATAATTAAAATAATATCTATTTTGGTTTCTATATGTCTGATGAATGTATATTTCAGTTTATTGTCAATATAATTGAAACTTCACATGAATAGTCAGGATAAAGATTAGATAGATCGTGAATTGCGGTGTGAATATGTGACCGGAAAGTAGTGATTAGGAAAGTTCAAGTAGTATGCGCTATAAACCAGCACGATTTGCTAAAAAAGGTAGTCTCTACCTATTTTATGCTTGAAGGGTATCTCTAATTACTTTTTGTTATATACTTCTTTAATTTGCAATATATCTATTATCTCTATTGTGGTTGAAGAGTGTCTCTAATTTTTTTTTTATATATATACTTTTTTAATTTGCAATATATCCATTTGATGTATGCTACATATACAAAGCATAACACAATTCACATTCTCTGATAGACAAAACGTTTATCACATACATAGTTATTATCC